CCCCTGCATGAATATATTTTGATTTAAAACTGGTATGACACTCATTAAAATAACTGCAAGAATTACACACAATTAGTGAGCTAGTTTTGCCTAAGGAGAAGATACTGACTCTTCACCACTTGGCACATTATTTGAAACCTCAAACGTATGCAATTTTTTAAAGGTAGTAGACTATACATAGTGACAAATTGAATATGTAGACATTACCAGTCAGTAGAAGGAGAACTGTATCCTTTAATACCCCAAGGGCCAATGACAAACCAAAGTTGAAAGATATGGTGGGAAATACTGATTTCCTAAGAGCACCTGATTGCAGGAAAAGAACAGATTGTCTACGGACAATAAAGACTCTAAGTGAATACCCGTTTCAGCTTGACATACAAGGCATGTATGTTGAAATGACAAGAAGCATATTGGAAAGCTCATTAATCACTGTCAGCAACAAAATAACACATGGAGAGGCACAGAATGTCCCAGGGAAGCCAAAAGTAGACAGATTCATTTCTAACAACTGGGTAACAATTAAGTGGATCAGATCCTTGATGCAGTTGTTTCCAATAATGTTTAAAAACTATGGGTTTACATTATGGTTAAATGGCACACATTTTTCATTTGTGTTTCTGTTCACATATTAATTTAGTATGGAAATAGTAAGCAGATATTTTGCATAAAACAATGCAGTCTGTTTATATCTAACTTGGAATTTAATTCTGATTGCAAGAAACGTACCAGATATGAAATCAGTATACAGGTTATAGCAGACTGGTTAAACATGCAATGGTCTACAGACCATTGGGCGCCTGCCTTTGGGTGACCTTAGATCACCTCGGCCAAGTTACTTAATATTTCCATGCCTCAGTTTCCTCATCTGTTAAATAGAAGGTATTAACAACACCTATCCTTCATAGGTTGTCATGAGAATTAAACTGGTTGCAATTTAATAAAAAGCTTAGACTAGTGCCTAGCATGTCATAGGTGCTATGTAAGTGTTAAATAAATGAATAAGAAGACTTTTCAAGCCATCTGATTCCCAGCCCTGGAGTTAAAGGGTTATCAGAATTTCTGGCGCTACGACAGTGGATACAGGTTGAAAAGCCCTGCAGGTTATTCTAATAGTTCTTGTTCTACGCTGCCCTCCTCCCCACCAGGTAAACTAAGTTACCTCTTAGTTTCTTTCTAGTTAAAAGGAAAAAAAATAATAATTACTTGATTGGAGACAGAGTTTTAAAAAATGATTCCCCTTTCTGCCATTTTGTTTAAAGAAATCAGCATTTTTCTTCAACTTTATGAAATTAAGGTTGATGAGAAGCTCAGTCATCCTCCCAGCAGATAACAGGCCCCATCAAATCATTCAATCACCCCTATTTCAGCCCTCAAAGTACAAGTTTAATAGGTGTTGACTAAGTGAAGAATTCCCTTCTAAGAAATCAATCACTGTTTCCATCTCCACGAAGGCAATCCTTAAGTTCAAACTAATATGTATTTCAACAACTAATCTACGGCTCTGAACCTTCCCTAGTGCTATCATAGCTACTGGTTCTTTAAAGAGACTTAAGCACTGAAATGGAATTGACTTTTGGACCACAGAGAAAAGGAGGAAAACATAAAGATATCCAGGAACAGGGGAACGAAGAGATGCCCAGAATCTCCACTAAGTCTGTTAAAGAAATGTTCAACAATGGATTTAGTAGATACCATGAACATCACAAACAGAAAATGCCAGGATCTGTTAACAATCTTGAATCTATAAGTAGAAGGTTGGTGATGAGTCAGAGTTACTTTGGAATGTCCTAGGGAAACTATTTCAGGGCTTTGGGCTACAAACATTTTAGGGAATAAAGTTATAGCATCTCCCAGAGCACTCACATTCAAGAGTGCTCTGGCTCCATGTGGCACAATTTCTACCGGCCAGGGATGTATAATTCCATGTGGGAAAGGTTGTATGCATGTACTTAAATGCTTCTAGAATTTTCTATGCAACAGTTTATCCTGTGTCCTTACTTCCTGGATCACTTAAGATCTAAACGCTGCCAAAGAATACATATAGGCTCATTTAGAAAATCATCACCAATAAAATGTCTCTCCCTTTGAAATATGTACTTCAAAAATTTTTTTAAATCGCACCACATAAGGGTAACAACTTGAAATATGTGGTAAGATGTCAATGAGAAACAAAAATGATTTGCTACTTTGATTATGAAAGGTGGCAGTGCAAGTAACTTAAAAAGCCAAATCTAATGCTCTTTCCAATTAGATGTGAGTTTGTACCACTGGCTTAGGGTAAGAAGTCCAGAACTTAGAAAGTCAATTTTCTTTCAGAGTGGGACCTTTGCACCTGGGGTAACTGCCACCATGTAAATGGGGCTATCTTTGGGTGGCTTAGAATCAATAGTTAGGCTGAGAGTATAGAGGAAATTATTACAGCACAAAATCCACTGACTTGCACTTTCTACACAAAAATGTTCTTTTTCATTAAACTAACATCAAACTTGGCTCTGGTTTTCTGCTACTTAACAATTCATTAGCCTCGTTAAAACAATGATCAAAGACAAAATTTTTAGAACTGAAAATAATGCTATTTTTAATGGCTTAAAAATTCTGCCCAAGTATTTGTTTTCTTTATAGAGAGCTCTGTCTTGTCTCAACAAGACACTCGACACCAGAGGCCCTGCTTCTGGTCCTAGGATTCAGCAGGTGCTCACATCAGGAATGGCCCTAACTGCTTGCCTCCCAGCCGTCTGAACCAGAAAAAAACCACCCTTCTAACCTGGGTCATCCTTTGAGTGAAGTTCAGAGAGCTCTCCATCTAGTTCTGCCTCTTTCTGCATCATGGCAACAAGACAGTTTTTACAAAACGGAAGCCACACGGTGCTGGATGTGCCTGCAGCATGGTTTGCCCTTTGGTCCTCATAGTGGTTCTGTATCTGCATTTTTTTTTTAAAGTACAAACTTCCAGTTATAGTAAGTCCTGGCGATGTAAAGTACAGCATGGTGACTGTAGTTAACAATACTGTACTACGTATTTGAAGTTGCTAAGAGAGTACAGCATAAAAGTTCTCATCACAAGGAAAAAAATCATAACTATGTGTGGTGATGATGTTAAACTTGTTGCAATCACTCTGCAATATATACATACATTGAATCATTATGTTGTACACCTAAAACTAATACAATGTTATGTCAATTGTATCTTAATAAAAATTAAATTTTCAAAAAGGGTTCTTTTCCTCTCTCCTCACCCCACCGACTTTAAGGAGAACAACTTTTATTTCTTTCACATAACAAAAGAAAATTAGTCAATCAAACAAAAACAAACCAAGCTTATACAATTTAAAACCATCCTTACATGAGCTAAGCCAATCTTTTTTAACCAACACTCCATCACCCAAAACCACATGACTTATAAACTCAGAAACTCATGTTTCCTATACCCCTTTCCAACTCACACACAACCAGATAATTCTGGCAGAAAACATCATATGTAGAGTTAATTTTAAATTTTTAATTCAAATCTATTTCCTATTACTCCTTTTTTTTTTAGGGTTAGCCTAAGAGGTTTCCAGAATAATTACCCTATGATAACTTAGTGTCTATTGCCTCAAAGTATAAACAAAATTTTAAATATTTATTAAACATACATTTTATAACATACTGGATAAGCAAGTTTTAAAAAACTTGATATTCCCTCTACATAGACCAAATATATTTACAGATTTATACAGTTATATATTAACAGGAAATTATTTATCTTTAGTTATACTAGAATGTTACTAGTTGAAGTATATACTAACATACTAATGTTGAAATCTAAGATATATTTTAGTCTTTCTTTGCTAGTCTCCTTGTATATGATAAGGTTTTATCTGGAGGGCATTTAACTATTTTATTCACAGATTTTAAAGATGATAGTAATGGTTTATAAATAAGGAACTACTTAAAGCATATTCTCTTCTGGGCTAGAAAAGTAGTATCAGTCTCATCAGATCTTTGGTTTTGAAAGTTAAAAACAAGTACCATTTCTTTACAATGGCTGCATTGAAAAATTACTAAAATCAGAAGCTCATATAGAAATGTTTGGGCACATAAGCAGACCAAACCTAGTCTCACCAGCACCCTCTCAGATGATAAGAAATTACTAAAAATGAATGTTGTAGTAAAACATAAAAATACTAAATACAGAGGATGAAAACATATTTAATACAGAGGTATATACAACTATATTATGGTAAAATGAGAAATAACTATACTAATACCACAAATTTTAGAATAATAAAAACTGACATCAAATTGTCCCCAGAAAAATGAAGTATCAACAACCTGAACACTCTAGTTTTATGGTCAGATCGATGCACCACGTGGATGCACCGTATTCCATCTTCCAAAGCACATCAAGTCAAGTCAATGAAAGAGAATATGAACTAAACAGTAAATGCAGATCTTAGAGTGTTCCCCAAAATTACGTAAAGAAAAAACAGGAAGAAGCAAGAGATTTAAAAAAAAACCTATAGGACCAACAAAGAGATAATCATCCTATGTATTTTTGGGGGGAAAAAGTCCTTCCCCACGTTTTTCTGAAGGCTTATTTAAAGGTATTTTCCCATCACAAATGACCTTTAAAAGGTAAATAAATAATTTCTCCTAATTAATTTAGGAATTCCCACCCCCCACTATGGCTTATGGGACAGATCCAAGTTTTATGTTCACTGCAATTTTCACAATTTTTCATTTTTTTGGGGGGGTGAGTGGGGTGGGTGGAGGTACTCGTTAAGAAAAGTTTTACAAAATTACAGATAAAAAGTGAGTTACAGGGCCTTCGTGGGAACCAGAAGGTTAAGCTTCATCAGTGTCATTAACAGACTATATACAGCAACAAGTTTCTGAAAGAACTGTCTCTGCAGGGAAGTTTTATTTGGTCTGGTTTGTAAAGGTGAGATTTAAAAAAAAAAACAATAGCAAATCCAGTGAATGGGATAATGCTGTCACCAAAAGATGTGTCTTACCATACAAGTATCCAGATCTTCCAAACGTTCTATCTCTGTGAGCTCCTCCACCATGATGATGGAGCGTTTAACGGGCTTCTCCTCAGGCAGCTCGATCTCCAAGGAATCTTGCTGAGGAAGGGCCTTGCCACGTCTGCTGAAATGGTCGGCCTACAGAGTCAAGACACATCCAAGGAGAAATGAAAGCCCAGAGGCACAGGAACAGCAGGTCAGCTGAATTCCAGAAGATACCTTCCACAAGGTGGCACAGCGAAGGATACTGTCTGCACTTGGTTAATGGCGACTCTTAATACATTCACACTGGAGTAAGTTAACCTCTTTTACCATCTTTCTTTGGAAGGTAGAGTATTTTAAACAAGAAATTACAAAATCTCCTTTTAAACATCTTTTGAGACATTAGTTGAAAAGTACGTAATTCATAAATCTTTGCCATGTTCGTGTAAATATGCACAAAGTGGGCATGTATTTTCGTTTTCCAAAAGATGCATTATGAACATTTTCAGGAAGCTGATGGGATTTTTTTTCAGCTTTCAGTCTTCAATACAATCACCTAAATGTCCGTCGACAGATGAACGGATAAAGAAGATGGGGCACATATATACAATGGAATATTACTCAGCCATAAAAAGAAACGAAATTGAGTTATTTGTAGTGAGGTGGATGGACCTAGACTCTCATACAGAGTGAAATAAGTCAGAAAGAGAAAAACAAATACCGCATGCTAACACATATATATGGAATCTAAAGAAAAAAAATGGTACTGATGAACCTAGTTGCAGGGCAGGAAGAAAGACGTAGACGTGGGGAGTAGATCTGAGGACACGGTGGGGAAGGGGAAGCTGGGATGAAGTGAGAGAGTGGCATGGACATATACACACTACTGAATGTAAAATAGCTAGTGGGAAGCAGCTGCATAGCACAGGGGTATCAGCTCGGTGCTTTGTGACCACCTAGAGGGGTGGGATAGGGAGGGAGGGAGGCTCAAGAGGGAGGAGATATGGGGACGTATGTAAGCATGCGGCTGATTCACTTTGGTATAGAACAGAAACTAACACAATATTGTGAAGCAATTATACTCCAATAAAGATCTATTAAAAAAAAAAAAAACACTAGGAAGGAAAGAAGTCAAAGGGGAAGGAAAGATTGAAGTCGCTGGATTAGACCCACAACCATAGCAACTCGGGGCTGGTCTGGACGCTGATTCCAACATCTTAACTGGAAGAAGACATCTCTGAGTCAACTGGGGAAATCTGAATATAAAATGGATTCTAACTGGTAATAAGGAATCTTTGATTTTGTTAGGTGTGACTGTTTCGGCAATCATGTAAATATCATGGTGCCAGTTAGAGACACCTTCTGAAGTATTTACAGCAAAATGGCATGGTATACGAGAGATGCTTTAAAATAGGCCAGAAAAAAGTGGAGGGGGGAAGAAGAGAGAGGTAGGTAGAAAAAGCAAAGACAGATCAGCAAAATATTGGGATAATTGTTAAAACTGAATAGTGGGCAAAGGAGGGCTCATTGTCATACTTTCTCTGTTCTTGTCTGTGTTTGAAATTTTCCACAATAAAAATGTTTTCTCCCCCTTGGGAAAAAAAAAAAGTAAGTGAAGCACGATGTCATTGCCACCAACATCACTGGTGGAAATATAAGGGAAATTTAAACCAGAAAAATAACTGACACAGGGTAAATGAGGAGACCACTTAGTACAAAAGAAAATAAGAAGCGTTCTTTTTTGTTAATTTTATTTCGTATTTCCTCTGAAAGAATTTCTTTCTATATCTAGGGCTCAAAAGTATCTAATGAGGGGAAATAAAATGATTCCAACCTTCACTATTTTTAAAGGACTGAAAGGAAAGAAACTGCTAATAAAATTTTAATTATTGCTAGCTTTCATTGTTTTCATGTAATAATATTTTACATGACTTATTAATTACCAGTGTTGTACTTTAGATAAACCTAAAAAGTAAATGGTAAGAGATGAAATAAACTGGGCTGAAATTAATAAGCTCTAGTGCTGAGCTGATTCATCACCAGGAACTTTGAAACGTTGAGAGCCAGTTGACAATTCTATGGAACCTTCGGGAATATTTCTAAACTTAAGTCGGAGAAAATATGAATGCTACTGGAATGTCTTTGAAAGCAGTATTTCATTTTGAAGGTACAATTTCTCTCACACAGCAGTTAAGCTCTCAACTTACAATCCAGATCAGCAGTAAGAAATTCAAAACGAAAGCACATTCACACAATTCTTTTTCGATTGTAAAAAGAAAATGTCAGTACTTAGAGTTACCATGTTCTTCAAAGAAGGACAAATGCAAAAAAAGTGAAAACATTCAAAGTGTCAGTGTAGTTCTCACATGCAGCCAAAGTGATACAACATCTAGTATTTGTGTCATCAAGTAGGCACCTTGAGACAGTCCCTGGACTGTCGATAAACTATTTCTATAAACTAGGTTATCGATAAACTATTTCTATAAAGGATGCCTTATTGATTTTGTTCCTGCTTATTAAAAAAAAGTTTGAATTTTGATCTCTTGACAAGGTTGTAGCTCTTTATCGTGCAACGAACTGCAAACCAGTGCTTCTTAAAACCTCTGTGGTGATGAACCAGTTTTTTGTATTTCCAATTTGCCACAAACCAGTATACTGATAAAATACAATACAAATTTAAAAAAATTTAAATAACATGTGTTTGCATATTATTGCCATGTCAAATTGCTCTAGAAGTCTCTCCACGCTTCCTCTAAGTTTCTGAACTTGCCTCGTCACGGACTAGTAACCATTCATTAGTGGGCCAGCTCCAGTCCACAGGCAATACTTTGAGTAGCTAGAGATGTCCAGCTTATCTTTTAGATTTTAGAGAAGAGTCATATATTTTTCTCAAATGAATTTTTCAAAATACTCATTTTGTCTGCCTCCTCAGAAGAAGCTGTTGCTCCTGTGACTTTGGTGTTCTCTACCATCACTCAACAATTCAATGCCGTAAAACCGCAGGGTATCTACAGCCTACATAGTCAACCTGCAATTCTTCTCTGGAGAAAACACTGTCATAACTTGTTTGGGAGATTTCTACTGCATCATATCACACATATTTTCGAGACACAAGACATAGCCACTTATAAAACCTTCATCTGCACCTCAGAGGACTTCGTGAAGTTTCTGATTTATTTTTCATATGCACTGATATTGGAAATATTTCTACCTAGTTTCTACCTTGATGTAGAACCAGTCTCTAGATGAAGAAAATTTTAGTTTTTCACCTTGGTGATATCCAAAAGGCCTGGCTGGACACTCGGCAGCTATCAATCGCCGGAATATGTCCATTTTACTCTTGCACTCTCTTTGGACTCCAAACATTTCATTTCCGTCATGTTTTTAAGAATACTCTGTTATCAGATAATCATATCAGAGAACAACAAAAGGAGCACAGATAAATTAAATACAGGTGAGCCTTGGACTACGTGGGTTTGAGCTGTGCAGGCCCACTTACACGAGAATTTTTTTTAGTAGTAAATACTACAGTACTACACGATCCGCGTTGGTTGAATCCTCAGATGTGGAAAGCCAACTATAAGTTATACGTGGATTTTCAACTGCAGGGAGGGTACTGCCCCAAGCCCCCGGTGTTGTTCAAGGGTCCACTATAATCTAAAAACAAATTCTCAGTTTTAGACCTCAGTCCCAACATCATCTCCTATCAAAATTTTTGACCTGTACGCATTTTAAATGAACAACAACAATTCTAAATACCATCGCTTCTGCTTTGCCCTGCAATTCTCTCTGGAGAAATTCTAACATGCTCTAGAACAGCTGGAAGCAATGAAGAAGGAGGAAAACTAGGATTTTAACCCATAAAGCTGCAAAGGAATAAAATGTATAAAAGCAACCACAACCCCACGCTGGAGACTGCCCTGCGTTACCGCAGACCAAACCAGGGTTAGGATAAGGGTTCAAGACGTCCACAGCACTTACCAGTTTGTGATGGCAGTGTGAAAGTGCATCCAGAATTTCATCCACGATTCGGTCAGATAGGAAGGAGGCCACTGTCAACTTCACTTCACTGTGTGAAAACCAAAAGCACAGAGTGGCATTTTAATCTGTGCAAGAGGGAAAAAAAAATCACCCACCCTTGATACTATGTTGATAAGGTCAACTGTGATTTTGTTTCTGTCTTTGAAAATGGCATACAAGAATGTGCAAACAGGGCTAAGGATTTCCAAAAATAAGCCTTAAACACTGACATAAACACACAGGTAATAGACTTTCTTCACCAATTCCAACCTGCCTCTACAATTTCAAAACTCAACGTTTAGTGGTAGAAATGAAAAACATCTGGATAAAGACAAACTTAATGGGAACCATATGTACCACGTGGGAGGAACAATTCATCCATTGACATAAATGAAAACAAACTTGGGCTGGAGTAAATTAAGAAAATCTAGTCTGGTTGTGACGTCTTGGTTATTTCTTTCATATGCATATCCACCGCCTTTCAAAAAACTTTTTACCAGTCAAATGGTACCATATTGAACTGCTTCTGCTTTGACTTGCCATCAAGTCAAATTCACTGTTCTCTTGCCTTTTATGAACAGAAGTTATTAAAATGTTTAGTTTTAGTGCCTCTTACCTAACCTTATAAAGATGCCCAGACAACAAGAAGTAGCTTGTAGTTTTTACTAATAAATGACTCAGCCACTAAGGTTTCCATCAGAGGGCTGGTATTTTGGTTAGCATTTTAGCTATTTGGCATTCCCAAGAATTCAACTTCCATGTGTGTCTTCAGTCAAAATTACCCTACCTAAATGCACACATGCACAAATGTGCATAAATGCACAATACACTGAAAGGTAAATGTGCTGGAGAGATACATACCCACGTTCCAACATCGTCACATAATTTCAGCCTACTTCTGAAGTCAATAATTTTAAATATTTTCGAGCAGGGAAAGAAGTTATCAAAATAAGATTATTTACTCCTAAAGCTAAAGTTGAAAGTATATTTGTGTAATAGGGGAAAATCTTTCTAACTGAAATTTGCATTGCAATGTTTCTGCTCAGAAGATTTCTGATGGCAGGGCAGAGGGGAAGCACCAACTCTTTGATGACTACAGTAAAAATTTTCCTGGGCTACATATAGAGGAATGTTTCTTTAATTCCTGTCTCTGAAACAAGGTCTCACCAGCTATTTGGTTTATCTAATACTATATTATTCCCCAGAGGTGTCCACTGATAAGATTCACCCGGGTTGCTTATGGAAAATACAGATAACTAGGTCCTACCCCAAACATCCAGAGAGGCCTGGGAATCTAATGTTAACAAATACTTCCTCTGATGCTTTTAGACATGTTTGGGAATTCTGCTTCCTTCTAAGACTACAGAGTCAGTAGTTTGTTTCTCTTCCCCCCGCCCCACCTCTCTGAGGTCGGGAGGGAAAGTTTATTGCAAGTTATAACATCAAAAAAAGGTTCTTGGGCTTCCCTGGTGGCGCAGTGGTTGAGAGTCCACCTGCCGATGCAGGGGACGCGGGTTCGTGCGCCAGTCTGGGAAGATCCCACATGCCGCGGAGCGGCTGGGCCCGTGAGCCATGGCTGCTGAGCCTGCGCGTCCAGAGCCTGTGCTCCGCAACGGGAGAGGCCACAGCAGTGAGAGGCCTGCGTACCGCAAAAAAAAAAAAAAAAAAAAAAATGAACCCAAAGGGAAACATGGTGAAGTCCTAGTGGGCCTCTTTGCCTATTTATAGGCTGTGCATTGGCTTGGAATATTCTGGTGGTAGAAAGCAAACTGACCTCAGTCTTCAAAAGTTAGTGATTTATAAAGGTGAAAGATAAGCTTCAGAAGCAGAACAAAAGAGGGGATTACAAACATGTACCCCCCTCTTAAAAAAAATAAAACTCTTAAAAAGAGCAGGTAACTGTTGCTCAGTAATGCAGGCATATCTGTGGTCATCTGATTTTGGAAATGTATTAAACCTATGCATTTATGCACAGCTATACCTGTATATAGTCGCTGCCTCATAGACATGTCTAAACACATTCTGTACGAATAGAGCCAATGATAACGCTCTTCACAGCTGCCTCAACTGCATTCACAGACACTGCAGCTCCTCGGTTTATTAACATTATAAACCTACCTAATTTTGTTAAGGATATCAATTCCAGACTGCTCCAACAGGACATTTTTAACAAAGGTACGTGGGATGGAAATCTTTTCAGTGCTGGCATGAATCAGGTCTTGCCGAATGTGGGCTTTTTTCATCACATTGGGACAAAGATTCTCGGCAGCATCAACCATGGACTCAAGCAACGCCTGCAACGCAGCACAAGTGGAGACAGAGAGATGATGACACAGCCCCGGAGGCGCCCCCCATAAAACTGAAAGGTGGTTATTTATGACGCCGAGCTCTCGGAGAACAGGGACACAGCAGAGTCCCAGGTGCGACTAAGGATTCGGAGCTGCCCTGGGATGGCTGCCGGGTGATCACTTTAAACCAGACACCTGGCAGATCCACGCAGGCTTCACCCTGGCGTCTGAAGCATGATGGTGTGCTAGCTGTACTTAACACAGAGGCATTCATGGTAAGATTTACAAAGACACAAATACACCAATTTACCACACCAGACTGTTCTCCTGGGTATCAGCAAATAAATTTACACATGTCCGTAGAACATACATCAAGTTAGAACTCTTGCGCAATTTCACAAATCACACAAATCACAGAAACCTCAAATCAGGGTGAAGCATTCAATAGCTCCATCAGAAGAGCAGTCATAGCAAACCACTATGCAACAACTGCTAGCTTTCCCCTTTTAAAAGAAAAGCTTTAGTGTTCAGTAAAATTATAATTGTTATCGGAACAATAAAAAACATGAATAACAGACAAAAATATTAACAGAGCACTTTATAAACAACATTAATAATAACAGTCAAAACCTACTTATATAGCACTTCAGAATTTTAAAAATGTCTCCATTCATTTTATCCTTCCAAGATCTGTGAAGATGGGTACAGAAGCTATTCGTGTGATCACCATCTTATAGTTGAAGAATGTGAGCTAAGGGAAGTTAAACGATTTGCCTGAGATGGGTGGCACGGCTGGTAAGTGTGGAAAGGGCACCCAAGTTAGCATCAGACCTAAATTTGAATCCCAGATGAGTGACACTGGCCGGAATTACTGATCTCTTGATTTTACTTTCCTCATCTATAAAATGGCAAATAAAAAAGTTCTTGCCTAATAGGATTACTGAAGATTAAATGGTATTACATGTGTAAAGTGCTCAGTATCGTGTCTAGCATACAATAAAAGTTCAGTATATCACAGATAATGTTATTAATTTGTTTTCAAAGATGCTAATCCTCATGATAAGATCCCAGCATATACCCTGAGAAAACCATAATTCAAAAAGAGTCATGTACCAAAATGTTCATTGCAGCTCTATTTACAATAGCCAGGACATGGAAGCAACCTAAGTGTCCATCAACAGATGAATGGATAAAGAAGATGTGGCACATATATACAATGGAATATTACTCAGCCATAAAAAGAAATGAAACTGCGTTATTTGTAGTGAGGTGGATGGACCTAGAGTCTGTCATGGAGAGTGAAGTAAGTCCGAAAGAGAAAAACAAATACCATATGCTAACACATATATATGGAATCTAAGAAAAAAACCCAAAAGTCATGAAGAACCTAGGGGCAAGACAGGAATAAAGACACAGACCTACTAGAGAATGGACATGAGGATGTGGGGACGGGGAAGGGTAAGCTGGGACAAAGTGAGATTGTGGCATGGACATATACACACTACCAAACGTAAGGTAGAGAGCTAGTGGGAAGCAGCCGCATAGCACAGGGAGATCAGCTCTGTGCTTTGTGACCACCTAGAGGGGTGGGACAGGGAGGGTGGGAGGGAGGGAGACGCAAGAGGGAAGAGATATGGGAACATATGTATAACTGATTCACTTTGTTATAAAGCAGAAACACACCATTGTAAAGCAATTATACTCCAATAAAGATGTTAAAAAAAAAAAGAAAGCCAAGCTTGATACCATTACTATTCCAGTATGAAGGGGACTAGTGAAGCATTATTATGTAAAGACTAGTCTCTCGGCTCATATATTCACATGCAAAGCACGATGCCGATGCCAGTAGTACAATCTCTCATCACACTGTAGGATGAGCAGCAGAGCAGCAGGATGTTTATAAAGATCCCGTGAAAAGCAGGAGAGGAGTGGGGGAGGCAGCCACTTGAGAAGTTTCCGAAAGCCACTCGTATTCTGACAGTGCTCTGTCCCTGTGAGAACTCTGAATAGTCACTCATTTAGTACATTATTCCAAGAGAGCTACAAGCAATGCCAAACGAGTCAGTTTAAGACAAATCATTTTCCTCTTTGGCATTAAAATAAACACATTCTGTTCCAGATGGAGTAGCAGAGTCCAGCACTCCTGATAAGAACGACCTCAGGTATCAATACGCTGTTTGAATTCTGTCATGTTCATCAATATAGCGTGACTTTCTGAAAGGTCCCCTGCATGACAGTGTTAACTCAGTTGGAATGAACTCCAGACCTAAGGAGGGAAGCCTGGCTTCCGATGTAGATCCCGACGTGAAATTTCTGTGGAATGTTAAGTGCGCAGCGTTAAGTGAAGAACCTTTGCAGATCTCTGCTTTCTGACCTATAAAATTATTTCTAAGGTCTCTTTCTGCTCTACAAATTGACTACTGCATGATTTTTGACCCTATAAAAAGGAATTTCATCCTGCCCTGGGCATCCAATTCGACAGATATTTTGCAGTTAATTCCCTACCACCATCTCTAGCCCGACAATTTATACTCTACAAAGTGATTTCATCCATGATTTCCTTTTATCCACATAACAACCCTGTGAGTAGAGGTAGATTTTAGCAAACCCATTTTATAGATGAGAAAATGGAGACTCGGAGGAGATCAGTGACTTCCTCAAGGTCACGCAGCTGGTTACTGGAATAAGTGAGAAAGGGACTCAGGTGTTTCGTCTTCTACTCTTGTTTCCTACTCCAGCCACCCTTTTCCAATGCTCTGCCCATTGCCCAAAGGTGTGTCCCTTTCGGCTCTCTTCATTACCTACAATTTTCATCCCCTAATGCTGGTACCTAATGCCACCATGGTGGATGTTCTGGTGACAGGGTTGGTAAAAAGGGGAGAAAGGATCACAGGATAAATTTGTAATGCAGCCCCCGACCACTTCTTTGTGTCTAGCCCCCAGCTCAGGTCCTTAAACAGCATCTCCTTCCAAGTCCCATGGCCCTCTACACACCAAACCATATTCTCCAACATCCATCCTTCCCATGGCTTCAAATTACTACCTATATTCCAATGGTTCTCAACTAAATGTTTACCTATAGCCACCTACCCAAAACATCCAATGCATATATAATACAGCCTATTAGGAATTTCCACCTGGATATTCTACCATGGCAAGGTCAACTACAACATGCTTGGCCTCCCATTAACCCCACGTAAACAGTAACTGCAACAGCAAAATCAACCATTCTTGCAAAGTTTTTATTGTGAGGTATGGTACCAAACTAGGGCAGAAATTTGCAACTCTCCTTCCACTCCACCTACCTCTCAACTCCTTCCACCACAACTATCTCTAAAACATGTTAAATTTACTCCTAGACATTTTCTCAAAAGTGGAAATATGCCAAAAATATTACTCATTAGCACAGAATAGAAATTCCTGAAATATCTGGTAAATGCTCAATTTTCTAGCCTCATTTTTTGTCATATCTCTATATTCCCCTTATAACTATTCATATCCAGTTATAGGGCAGTTCCCCACATGATCCAGGCTCTGTCTCCATGCTTTCTACAACTGTTCTCTTAGCCTAGAATCCTGTTCCCCTCTGTAGCCGGAATAAATCACCTGTATGCCTCCCTACTCAGCTCAGCTCAAGCATCACCTCCTGGAGGAGATGTTCTTGCTTGTTCCTTCCACACCCTTCACACTCCAAACTGCATTTGATGATCTCATAGCATCCAGTGGGGACCTCAGTAATCAAATGTGTTATAAAACGGTCAAGAAGGCAGTAATCTGGGGATCAAAGAACGCCTTTGAGAATCGATGCACACTCATCCAGAAAAATTGGTATGAGATTTTACATATAACTTTGGAAGTTCATGGAGAGCCAGAGGCGCCAGACTCCAGATACACAACTTGTACCTGATAGCAACTGTGAAGCCCTACCCTCTCTCCCCGGGGCCTAGCACACTTCTTGGAACAATCTCTAAGAAACATATAAAAAGTAGTATAAGCTCAGGAACTTACTGAATGTGCGTTCTGAATAGTCCATCGTTTTTCTATTGATCAATGATAACTCACTGAAGGCGGCATTATGAAAATTTGCATAGATGTATGGGGTCCATTTCTGGGATCTCTCTGTAGCACTGGTCTGTCTACCTCTGCATACTGTCCTAATTATGATAAGTCCTAATATGTGGTAGGGCAAGACTACCAACCTTCTTGTTCCTCCTCATAAGTGTCTGGGCTTATGAAGAAGCCATATATTTCACTCTAAGTACTGGTTTAGCGGCATCTCACAGGTTCTGATTACTAACTGCTTTATTGTTTAATTATAAATATCCTCTAATTCACATTTTGCCCTCCCCTTTGACCCTTGGGTTACAAGTAATTTTTAAATTTATAAACATGTGGGGTTTTTCCCTTTTTAAAATTTTGTTATGAATTTCTAATTTATTTTAAATGAAACCAGAGAATACCACCTTTGAAAATTGTTGAGATGTTCTTATAGACCTCATGCCAAATATTTCACGTATCCTTGCAAAGAACTGACAGTCTCCTATTATTGGTGCACTGATCACATAGGTCCACTAGGTCACAACTGAGAATTCTATTGTTCAAATATTCTTTATCATTATAAAGAATTTTTTCAAATATTCTTTATAATTACTTTATTTACTTGATCTATTAGTTACTGGCAGTCATTTTGAAAGATCTCTACCATAAAAGTAAATGTTATCAATTTTTCTTTGTAATTTTGTCCACTTACTCATATATATAAAGCCATATAATTAAATACATACACAGTTGAAATTATCTCTGGCAAATTGGATCATTTGTCATTATTCACTGATCTATTTTATCTCCAGTAATGCCTTTTTCTTTTTTGGCCACGCTGTGCAGCATGCGGGATCTTAGTTCCCTGACCAGGGATCGAACCCATGCCCCCTGCAGTGGAAGCGCGGAGTCTTAACCACTGGACCGCCAGGGAAGTCCTAGTGATTCCTTTTCTACTGCATCACTAG